GGGGTTGGAGGGATGGACAGAAACTGGCTAATGGGTAAAGGATTTTGCTTTGGAATGATGGAAATGTTTAGGAACTAGATACAGTGGTGGCTGCACAGCATTGTGAATGTACTATGTGCCAATGAATTGTTCACTTTGAAATGCTTAATTTTTATTAAGATATAAATGTGAATTTCTCCTCAAAATATTATTTTAAAAACTAAGGGCATGATTCATTTCAGGATAGCCAAGTGTTTGATGTATCTCAGGCTTATTTGCCCCTTTAAATATCAAGACCTTTTATTATTAAAAAAAGCACATACTAAGATACAGTGGTTTTGTTTCCATTATAATGAAATAATTGACATAAGTATTTGTTACTAATAATAAACACTTATATGGTACTTGCTATATATCAGGAACTTTACTTAGGCCCTTACACACATTAACTTATTTAATCATCACAACAATACTATAAGGTATTACTTTTTTAATTCCTGTTTTACAGGTAAGAAAACCAGGGCATGGCAAGGTAAATTACCACGCCAAAGTCACACAGCTAATGAGTGATGTTCTAACGCATAAAATGTTCTATATATGTTCTATATATGTTTTAAAATTGATGACTTAATTTTTTAAAAGATTTATTTATTTATTTATTTATTTATTTATTTATTTATTTATTTATTTGAGAGAGAGAGAGAGAGAGAACAAGCAGGAGGAGGGCCAGAGGGAGAGAGAAAGAATGTGCAGCAGACTCCCACTGAGCACGGAGCCCGATGAAGGACTCAATCTCACGATCCTGAGATAATGACCTGAGACAAAATCAAGAGTCAGACTCTTACCCGAATGAACAACCCAGGTGCCCAGTGATTTAACTTTTAAAGCTAGTTAAGATCCTCATCAGAGATACTCAACACCTACAGAATGCTTCATTTTATGATGGTGTTATAGCCAAAGAAAGCGGAACAGGATTACAAAGTCATTCACTCAAACATTCTAATATATTAACTCATACTGGGAGCAAAAACAGAAAAAAACAAAAAAACACCATTTGGTTGTGTTTTAATGCTACATGAGCAAATCTGTTGGTGTTTTGTTTTTTCTGTTTTGTTTTTTTGTTGTTGTTGTTGGTTTTCTCTTAGCCGTTTCCTCCATGTACCATTTTGCCATTCTGAGCTGACCATTCCAGCCCACATTGTGTTCTTTCAGATTTGTTAGCAAAAGCACTTTAAATTCAACTGTGTCATTTTCCGATGTTAATCGAGCAATCTGCATGTTTCCATACACAGTCTCTTACAAAAGATAGAGCTTGTCTGGAAAAATAATGCAGATAGGCCCTGGTCTCTTAGTATCTGATTATCAGCTTGATTTGTTATTTGCCATCTGAGAAGAAAGATGTGATATCCAAATAAAATGTGCATGGAATACTTCTCAGCATATGGCAGAGCAAAGAGCCACTAAAGAAGGAAAGTGGAAGAATTGGCAGCTGCTTTTAATCTAGGTCAGCTGTTAATAAGGGGCCTTCATCCATGACCATTTATTGAGCATCCCCTCTGAACCAGATGCTATACTAAATATATTGTTGGGAGTCTCTCCCTATTCTCTCCCACGCTAGCAGCCCTTTGGCAGAACTGTCTTCTTTCAGTTCCTAGAATACACCAGAGTCCTGCCTTTAGAGACTTCGAAGGCTGTGTTCCCTCCACCTGAATGATCCCTTCCATTCATTTCACCAAGCCACCTTCTGCTTATCTTTTATGACTCAGCTTAAATGTCCCTTTATCAGAAGAGACTTTCTGATAGACTTTCTGGGTATTACCTCCCTCATAACACCTTGAACTTTTCCTTCAGAGCACTTAACAAAATTATAATTAAATAGTTATTTGTAATATAATTTGTTTCATATTCTCTGCTAGGTGTAAACTTTAAGACCAGAACTGGGTCACCCTGGCTCACCACTAGATTCCCTGGCACCTAGTAGAGGCTCAATAAATATTTGCTGAATGATAAAATGAGTAAATGAATGCATGAAGGTAGACCATACCCTCTATGTACTCAAAGGTTAGCCCTGTTTATTTTTTATGTAGGATCCATGCTGTGTTCAGAATTCTTATTTTTTAATTAAGCCATGAATGCTAAAAAATAAAGTGATGTAGATACTGGATATGGAGAAGAGAGTGTTTATTGGTGAGGTGGGTGCTGGGGGGGAGCTCAGTTAACTTCCACTTCGGTCTATCAAAACATCCAAGTACGAGGTCATAAGCTCTTTCATAGTTTGGTTTCACAAAAATGAGGCAAAAGATCCTCTCCATGTATTCTACACTTAGAAAGTCAATAGCTACTAAATGGGCTTACTAATTCCTCTTTATTTTAAAAATAATAAACCAATAGCTTTTTTTTCTTTGATTTCTCCTTTTATTGCAGGCTTTATACTGCTCACAGTCTCCCTTGATGAATAATCTAATGAGTTAGTGAGACAGCTGTGGGTGCAAAGGAGAGTAGATGTATAGAAAGGAAAAATGGCACAGAAGGGATTTATCCTTTTACTGTGAAATCTGATTTGCGTGTCAGCCACAATCCTATAAAATTCAGATTAGAGTTTTGTAATAGTCTCTGCCTTGGATTTTGGGTTACCAGGGATTCTCTGGGTATTTCTTGTTACTTGAAACTCGGGTTTTGTTTTGGATACATTTCAGACTTTGTATGGCATTGTACCCTGTATCATCCATTCAGTCCCTATAAGCTAAAAATTCCATGATTTGTCTTCATGTGATTGAGAATACAGCATTTTATTTCAGGGTCTTATAGCCTACAGAATTCTCTGTTTTGGGCAGCCCGGGTGGCTCGGCGGTTTAGCGCCGCCTTCAGCCCAGGGCCTGGTCCTGGAGACCAGGGATCGAGTCCCACATCTTCCTGCATGGAGCCTGTCTCTCTCTCTCTCTCTCTCTCTCTCTCTCTCTCTCAAATAAGCAAAATCTTAAAAAAAAAAAAAAAGAATTCTTTCAATATAAAATCTTTAGTTTATCCGTATTAGGATTAATGTGGAAATTATCTTTTTGTACCTTAGAAGAGTTTGAAATAATATGTCAGATATATTTGGAGTTAGTTTACTTATTTTTCCAAATATTTTCTATATTGAGAGTTTATTTACTCAGCTACTTTGTATGATTTTCTAAATGGTCGTGACAAATAAGAAATGGACCAAGAAAGAACACCTGAAAACTAAGATTTGTAAATCTACTGCATTTTCAATGACTGGAGCATTAGGACAATTAGAAACCATTACATTGCTGATGAGTATTTAAGTTTTTAGTTAAATGATTCATTTCCTCTTCAAGATTAGGATATTAGGATCTAATTAGGAAACTGCCATGACTTGGGTACATATAAGCCTAACATCATTTTCCTTTATTTACGTGGTTAGAGTTTATACCTGAATAGGATGTTTTTCAAGGGATGATTGGTTGAATTTTTGTTACTATGCACATTCACATACACACTCACAAATTTTTTCCACTAGATTCTAAAATTAGAAATTTTACTTATAAAAATTGAAAACATACACACATTTTTATGTAGAAGAAAATAAAGCCTATGCTTAAGCTAACCATCAAAAGTTGATTTACACTTTGATGTATTTCATTTTAGTCTTTTTGTCACTCACACATTTTATTTACTGATTTTCTACAGTAGAGTTAGAGTTTTGTTTATATTATTTTCACTTAACTTTTTCTATCATGAGTCTTTCCCATATCATTAAGCCATCTTCATAAATAGAATTTCTTGTGACTCTTCACTGATAATTCAAGTTGTTTATTTTTCAGAAATTATAAACACTTATTTACATAAATATCCATCTGAGTTTCTGATTTTTTTTTTTTTTTTTTTTTTTACTTTAGAAAGGACTCAGATGCCTAGGTGGCGCAGTGGGTTAAGCAGCTGACTTTTGGTTTCCACTCAAGTCATGATTTCAGGGTCTTCACATCAATCCCACTGTGGAGCCCCATCGATGCTCAGAGCAAAGTCTGCTTAAGACTATCTCCTCCTCTCCCTCCGCCCCAACCCACTTGCGTGCACGCGTGCATGTGCTCTCTCAAATAAATAAAAAAATCTTAAGAAAAGAAAAAAAGATTTGTAGAGTGAAATTACTGAGTAAAATGGCATATACATTTTTGAGGCTTTGATACATATAGTAAAATTGCTTTTTGAAATACTAATACTGATTTAATTCCTGCTTAATACATATGACAAGGCTTAATATCTTTGCCATAAGAGAGGTCATACAAATAAATAAGAAAATAATGTTCTAACACCAAAATAGGTTCAGAACATGAAAAGAAAATTTACTAAGCTGGAAATTTGTATATCCATTATATCCGTGTAAGTATATATGAATGATATCAAATCTCATTAAGAATATAAACTATACTAATAAAAATACTATTTTTATTATAATAAACTGTTCTTTCTTTGAAAGTATTCAAAGGTAAGATGTTAACAGGGGAAGCTAGGTAAAAGATACTAGGGATTCTGTACTATTTTTATAACTTCTGTAGATCTAAAACTATTTCAAAATAAAAAGTTAAAAAATTACTCATATAATGGCTCTAGGTGCTTGTTGAAATACATCTTTGTGTGTATTGATCTCACATAAATGAGCCACCATACTTCCAGAAATCTGCATCAGAGCATACCTAACTAGCTGTTTTCTTGAATCACATTCTGGTATTGAAAAATAAGTGTAAAATATATCCAATGAATGCTCTCATTTATTGCACAAGTCTCTGAACCTGCTGTTTGTTATATACTTTATCTTAATTGTTTCCTAAAGCCCTACAAAGTAAGCCCTACAAAATTACAATGCTCATTTTACAGATGAGAAAGCCGAGGCTGTAAGATTGAGTAACTCATTCAAACTCATACTCTAAAATGTTTTATTTTAATTGGTTTCATTTATAAGATACGTCCATTTGGCAGAAAGGACTTACATTTAGGGAATGAATGTTTGTCTTTATTTTCAGCTGGGAAAGCTGTTCCCTTTCCAACAGATGAACCTACAGACATTATTCCACGGAGCTGCCAACTAACGACAGATGTTCCACAAGTCACACAGCTGCTAAACATGACTAAACTCCGCCAAACTGAAATAAAATTTGGTGGTCATCCTCTAAATTCGGCAGAATCAGGTATGCATCAGGCACTTAAATTATAATCATATTTATTTGAAAGACCAAAAAAAGGGTTAAAAAAAAAAACACTGCAATGACGTTTTATAGCTTAAAGTTAAATATTAAGTCACTCTAACATCAATTCATATCTGTGATAATCATTTTAAATTTCTCTTTAGCAGCTAAAATATTTTCTGGGTTTATACATACCCAATCAAAACATCCTAAATTAGTCTTCTCCTTTTCCTGTATGCTTCCAAACCCAGCCAATTATACTTCTGAAACATCTCTCCAATCTCTCTGCTCCTCTATCCTATTGCTGCTTTCATTGATGAAGTCCCCACCATTGCTCATCTTAGCCTCCCAGTTAATCTCCATATTGCTGTTGAATTATCTTTCTGATAATAGAAATAGAAATATGATCATGCCTCTCTTCATTTAAAGACCCTTTAATGCCTTTCCTACTATCTTAGAAGGGAAAATGAAAAAACCCTTGGGAACTTACACAAAGCCAACCTCCTCTATCCCAGCTTACTCCAGAGTTTCATCTCTTCTTCCCCATATGCAATTTTCTGACCCCTCTGTGGGTTTGCACACATTCATATTTGGGGATCACTGTTTCTTTGCCTAAAACAACTTCTTTGTCTTTCTGCCTGGAAAAACTCCCAGTTCATTTTTCTAGGTCCAACTCAAATGCTACCTCTTCTGTATAGTCTTTCCTAATTCTAACAAGGACTGTTCTCTTCTATGACTTTTTTCCTTTCTTTTCATTTTTTTTACAATACTTTTTAATATCTCTGCTTTTCCCAATAAAGTGTGACTTCCTCCAAGAAGGATGCTGTACCTCATTCTTCTATATCCCTAGCATCAAACACAGTATTTGCCACAATGTTTTCATGCCAGGGACTGCAGATTCAAATTATTATGGAGGCCAGTCAGATAACATAAATGAATAAAGTGGGCTGGATGCCTGGATATTTGACATATAGAAACCTATTCTACTCTTCAGTGAACCTTATTGGGATCATTAGGGGAAAGGAGTCAGGTAGTGCTTCAAAGAAATTGTTCTCTACTGTTCAACTGTTCAAACAGTAACATTAACAACTATGCAAATGATAGAATAAATGTTAGTTAATACTCAGCCCTCATGAGGGAGCATTAGAGAGTGGTGAGGACTATAGCAAATTATAAGCTCATTCTCCATCTAGAAAGGATACTGCAATTCCATTCTAGCCACGTGTTGCCTTGAAGAATTTATTTACAATCTCACCAGGTCTTCCTTTTTTTTTTCCCCAATAGGTGCTAGGTAGTTCAATGTTAATGCTAAATCTTCCAGTTTTATAATATTGTCTAAGTTCTAAAATTTTTTGAAAACACTCTATGAGCCTAATGAGCCATGCCAGGGCTACCAGTTTTGAACCTCTGTAATAGACACCTGTAGCTCTTGACCAAATGAATGAATAGTGCATACAAATCAAGAAACCTAACATTATTTAGATGAGTGGATCTCAACTTCCTGTTTGTTAGAATCACCGGAGATATTTTATAAATAATTTATGTAAAAAAATTTTTTTCCTAATGTCTCTGCTTCATCTTCAGAGATTCTGATTTAACTGACCTTGTATGGATATTTTTTAAATGTCTTCAGTGATTCTAATGTGAAGCCTGGTTTGAGAACCACTGGATCACTTACCCAAATAAAAGTCCTATGGCTCAGATGGCACTCAGAAACACAAAAGTAATCCCAAGGAAGGTAAAGTGATGGTTGTAAAAAACCCTTATGAAGGAAGAAGTAGGTCTTGAAAGTATTCAGTAAATACTTGTGTAAGTTTTTATTATAAATGTAAGATTTATGGAAGTGTAAGGTGGTGCAGAAGTCTGAGCAAAGACAAGGAGACAGCAAAATGCATGGATGAGTTTTCTGAGGGATTACTAAGAGGAATGGCCTCAGTAGCCAGAATGGCTGGGTCAGAAGAATATGAGAAGAATGTGCCTCCTGCTTCTAAAGTAGAGACACAATAATGCCTTTTTTAGGAAGATGAATTTGACTTTGGAATTCAAGATGAATTTTTAAATCAAGACCAGAAATTAAGAATTACAACTCAGGTGTCTTTGCAGCCATCTAGGCATAAAATATCACTGGCAATGTGGTAAGCGTTGAACTTAAGAGACGCTGTGGCGGAAACACAGGCAGGACTTGATTCTCAGATAACAAATGGAGAAGAGAGCAGTCTCAAAGTTTGAGAGAGGTCAAAGTAGAAGCTGGAGAAAAGAGACAGCCATGATCAAATGAATGAGAAATGGAGTGTTTAGCTCTCTATATTTATCCTGTATTCATTTATTCTTGATGTATTTTTTTAAGATTTTATTTATTTATTTATTTATTTATTTATTTATTTATTTGAGAAAGAAAGAGAGGGAGCATGAGTGAGGGGAGGGACAGACAGAGAGGGAGAGGGAGAGAATCTCAAGCAGACTCCCCCACTGACCACAAAGCCCAAGTAGGGCTTGATCTTATGATCCTAAGATCACGACCTGAGTCAAAACCAAGAGTCGGACACTTAACCCACTGAGCCACCCAGGTGTCCCTCTTGGTTTATTTTGCATATGTCAATCTTCATCAGCATTACATGTCCTAAATTGCATATTCCTAGAAAATTGGGATCTGTCTTATAACTTCTTCAATATAAACCCTGGCAGGGGCCTATGTGTCAGTAAATACTATATTTCTAAATTCTTTATTACAAAATTTTCAAGCTTCCAGTAAAGAGAAGACATTAGATCCTCATGTCCTTGTCACCTGTTTCCACAATTGCCAACTTTAGGCAGGACATTTTAGTAGCACAGGGCACAGGTAATGAGAATTTGAATATTTATTATATATATACTATATTGAGAGAGAGAGAATATATGTAGCCTATGTTCATTAAAGAACCTTTAGAAAATATACAGGAGGATGAAAAAGATCTCACTCCACAGGCAACCACTGTAAACACCTTGGGTCACAAATCAATCTCAATGGAAGATTCACCAAAGAATGAAAGGAGCAAGCATATTTTTGATAACCAAACACTCTATCTGTATCTAATAGGCTGTGAATGCTTTCATTAATAGAAATGACTAAGCTGTAAAGTCCATCAGATAACTCAAAGAGCAATTGTGAATGCTCTTCTTTTATCTCTCTAGCTTAATATTTTAAGAATTAATTATGTCTTTAAATGAAAATATAAGTCTGTAAGTAGATATTTTAAGTGTCTTTTTTTAATTTAAAGTTCAAGGACATGTATGATGCTTGAGATTAAAGAGGAATTTGAATAAATATTAATTGCATCATTAACTCCATATATTATAATTAAACAGAAACTTTCTCATAGGCCATATTTGATCCCAACTTGTAGAAGAGAATATTAGTATATATCTTGCAAATTCCATAATTGGGATCTTAATATATATTAATAGTCGACTTGAGTCACATATACAGAAAATTAAAAATCAGGGGTGCCTGGGTGACTCAGTTAAGCATCTGACTCTTGATCTTAGCTCAGGTCTTGATCGCAGGTTCATGAGTTCAAGCCCTGCATTGGGCTCCACACTGGGCATGGAACCTATTTAAAAAAAGAAAAGAAAATTAATAATCATCACTTAATAGAATACTTCATCTGCTCTGTGGATCCCAATTTTATTTCTATTCCATGATAACCATAAGGTTTATGATAAGATTACATGAAAATACAGTAGTCCTCCCTCTTCTGAGGTTTCAGTTACCTGTGGTCAACTGTGGTTCAAAAGCAGATGATCAGAAAGTCAGTAGTAGCCTAACACTAGGTCACACACCTACATCATTCACCTCCCTTCATCTTGTCTCATAGTAATTTTATCATCTCACATCATTACAAGAACAGTGAGTGCATCACAAGAAGATATTTTGAGAGAGAGGACACATTCACATACTTTTACTTCAGGAGGAAAGCATACACATTTTAATAATATTTTACATGTACAAGGGAGCCTTTAACTTTTATTACAATATATTGTTACAATTGTTCTATTTTATTATTAGTTGTTAATCTCTTACTGTGCCTGATTTATAAATTAAACTATCAGAGGTTTGTATGTATAGGAAAAAAACAGTTTATATGTGTTTTGGTACTTATCCATTTTCAGGCATCCATTGGGGGCCTTGGAACATATCCTACAGGGATAGGAGGAAGCTAGTATACATTGAATTTTGTAGTTCTCTTGCTACAAAGACTTTTCAGTTGCTAATTTCATCATTTGTGGGTTTTTGAAACTTACTATAAATTAACATAATAGTAATTGTTCTTTGTATGAAATATTTTATTTGCAAGGTGTAGCTAATGAATAATGCCCAAGGGCAGACTTGCTAATTTTGGAAAAGCCAGGAGATATTACTTCATTTTAACTATTTGTTTTTGTGTCTGTCTGAGAAATGGACTCCCCATGATGAGAATTTTTGAATTGCATGAGGAAATGACTGTGCACTCTTAAAATTGACTGTATAGTATATTTATGTAAATTGCGGTACTTTGTTATAAATGCAGACACTGAGATCCCAATGAAGCTACCACAAAAAGAAGTAGTTGCTTCCTATGGGTGCTTTCTAGTATGTTCATTTGAGCAAAAAAAGGAAACCTTGAAACTTCCATTTTAGAGTGCATTTTGTTGAATGTCATGTAACTTGATTGAAAGCATTTAATAAAATTAATAAGATAATTGTGTTTCCAAGAAGCCAGTGTTACCACACTTCTACCCTGTTCATTTTGTCAGTTCCCACTGCACATTAGCTAATGACTATTATTCTGCAGAGAACAGCAGGGTATCTGATGATCTTATTTTCATTAATGGGATCCCAGTTTAATTGAACCAGAGATCAGGTCTGGTTGAAGTTGAGCATTCGGCTACTAATGGCAAGATGCAATGGTCCACTAAATACAAATCAAAACTAGTGATTTGCTTAAAAATAAGGAGGCAGTTTTCCCAAGTGCCTCTTTTCCACA